GGGGGCTTGGGTTCTTTTTTTAAGGGGGAGTAGGTTGTTTTTGGTTTGTTTGTTGCTGTTGTTTTTGGGGGATGGCCTTTGTGGTTCGCATATGTAAACCAATAGTCTAATCTGATTTGTTGGGTCAACTTGATGATGAAAGTGATTACCTTTTGTCTCCTGAATTTATTTCGCACGTTGTCTGTTAAATATTGGAGTGGGCGCCCCGTTAGCTCACTTGGTATAATGTTGGACTGCGGAGTGGATGGCCCTGGTTCGAATCCCAGACTGGGCGTTCTGGAACTTGGGTTGTTTGTGGAGTTTTTTTCGGCCGGGATCTCAACCCTTTTGGCTCGGCCCTACTTGAGACGAACGTTAATTTCTGACGTCTTGCCTCTTGAATAATCTAATAGTGTTGATATGAGCATTTAACACATTCACATACTTACAATGGAGTAAGCAAAAATAAAAATAATTTATCTTCAAACTGTTCCTTTGCCATGTCTGTACTTCTTGTCACAGACTTGCAAAGATACCAGACCCGTAAATGTGAGATTGCAGGACCGGGGGTTCGAGCGTCATCTCGATTCGACGTTGTGTTCTTGCGAAAGGCACTTAATACGAATGTCCTTTTTGGCTAGGTCCTTTCGCAGTTGGACATTAAACTCGGAGGTCCAGCCTCTTGAATAACCTTATAGTGTTGATAGGTGCGTTCAACCTATACCGTTTCACATTTCACAGGCATGCAGGAGTTGATGGCGATCTACAAGACATTCCACGACTTTCTTAACAATTTTGTGAAACAGTTTCCCTCACATCTGAACTCCGATGCCCCTGAGGGTCTTGCAAATAGCGTGGATGTCTTGCCCACCATGTTGGCCCTTACTGACCCACTTTTCGTTGATGGAAAAGTAAAAAAACTTCAGGAGAAGTTCGATAGTCTTCAGCAGATCCTTGGATTCTTGTTGGACAAAAGCTTCCCCATTGTGAAGAAGGAATCCCACAGCTGGTTCGACGCCGAGAGATCAAAACTTCAGTCGCAAGTCGATACAATCAGTACGACTATGGAACGTTTAGCGCTGAATCGACATGATGTCGTACGTGAGTACCGGATTGAGTGCTTTGGCGTGTGTACTTGCGTAGATGTATGTGTGGGCATGTTTTATGAAATCTAGCTTTTTACATTATGTACTTAGATTCGTCTGTGATCTCTCTCTCTCTCTCTCTCTCTCTCTCTCTCTCTCTCTCTCTCTCTCTCTCTCTCTCTCTCTTCTC